GTGATTAGTGTAAACTGGTGTAAACACTCGCGTAGCTGCTGTTAATATTATTATAAATGACAACAGTTTTATGCAGCTCTCTTTATAAGAGATTAACCATGGCACCACAATTTTATGCGGTAGCCAGAGGACGAAAACCTGGAATTTATAACACTTGGTATGAATTCAAACTCTTTTGTTTACATTATGAATACAGGCAATTGAGACATTCACGAAAATCTTCGTGCATCCCATAAGAATGTAATTTTCAAGAAAATAAACAAGAATTTGTATAATATCATATTTACTTATTAACATGTGAGATAATATTAACTATGGCAACGACTGTTAACGAATAAATATTATTGTTTATTTTCTTGAAATATTAGGTTAGAAAATAAGTTCGTTCACTCTTTGCTTCGGCGAAGGAGAGTAATTTAATCGATGTCAAGGCTGTTATCAATAGAAATTCATCCTAATCGTAATGTTATACACGTAAATATTTTTATGTTACTATGCACCTAAAAATGTCTCATCCGTAAACATGTACCTAAGCTGCTTCATCCTTTATCTAAATCAATATAGTCCGGGCGCTCGTAACACAAAAAAATGGAACAATTTCTTACAGTCTGCCATTGATAGGGGAAATATTTACAGCCACAAGCTGTAGATAGATGTACTTAAAAATCTTCGTTACGTGTTAGTGCATACTTAAACATTAACTTTAGTTAGCAAAAAGAAAGATAGTTTCTTGAAACAACTTTCAAACAGTCTGTCATTTATTTGAGCACAAGGCAAGATTGCGCAATCTATGAAAAGCTTATTGGCAGATGGTTTTCTCCAGTACAAGAATAAAGCGTACTTATGTTAGTTAGCAATTAAATCGTATAACTAAGAACAATTTTTTACAATCTGCCAAGCACAATTTAGGCTAATGTTAGCGTAAAGTTGACGAAATTTCACAAGGCAGACTGTTTGAAAGTTGTTTCAAGAAACTACTTTCTTTTTGCTAACTAAAGTTAATGTTTAAGTATGCATTAACACGTAACGAAGATTTTTAAGTACATCTATCTACAGCTTGTGGCTGTAAATATTTCCCCTATCAATGGCAGACTATAA